CAAAAACAACTAAAAATTGCATCATCATCTCTGACTCGTCTTGTCTTAAAAGTGTCTGCTGATATCACCCTATTATCCTTGACATTTTAGAACTCTATAATGATCTTCCTACTGGCCAATGTGACATCGTCTTTTGCTGGTTGCCAAGTCATGTAGGCATAATAGGTAACTCAAAGGCCGATGCTGCAGCTAAAGCAGCTCTTGACAAACCGTTAGCTCCACTACTGATCCCGTATATCGATTCAAACCAACTATTAAAAGTTTACTCCGGATCTCATGCAAAAGAGGTGTGACACCCGGGTAGGAAGTAATAAAGTTCATGAATTGAAACCAACAATCGGTCATACCTTCTTGGGTTGTCAGTCAAGACATGATGAGGTCGATTTACGACGATGTCGTATTGGCCACAGTCGGTTTACCCACGAATATCTGCTTAAGACAGATAAGGACGAACCTGCTAAGTGTATCCCTGGTGATGAAAGGTTCACCGTCAATCATATATTGCTGGACTGTTTGAACTTTGAAATCGCAATGGATTCACATTATCAGAGTGTAAATCTGAAAGATATCTTTCCTGAAAGAAATTGGTCTGTAAAATGCATTCTATGTATGTCAATAATAAATGCTTGTTTTTAAATTTAGTGTGATGCTATTATGAACAGACATTATTGGAGGCTCTGTCCAGGTTGGCGTACCATAAAAAAACATTAACGCCCTGTGTGACACGTAATCTTATCATAAGATGTAACTATCATCAACCAAGGTTTTTCAGCCAACTCGTTGCTGAGTATTTCTTAATATTGGCTAGTATTATGCACAACACCAGTAGCTAAAGTGATGACGTAAATCCTGCTGGGGTATAATGCAGGAAGCCGAGGTACTGAAAGTCCCCAAGATCCCCAGCGAGGTGGCCCATCTTTGGTTACTGGTGACCTATAGCCCGTGTTTTTAAAATGTATACATGATATCGTTATGCTCAAAAGAGTTCAATAAGTTGTTTTTAAATATAACTTTGCATAAATGTCTCAATTGTTTACATATTAACTTGGTCTCGTCACTATATGGCTGAAATAATACCTATGCGACGTTTTATTGTAACTCAATCACTCGCTACTGTCGTGCAGGTATCTCCAAAGAAAAACAATCATTTATATAGTGACATTCTTTTTTTTAAAAATACCTGTTTGTTGTTTTATTGTTTAGAAAATCTCGTTGCAAATACTCTCTTTGCATGGAACAAATATAGGAACGAATGCTGTTTGTGATCCATTGGGCATTCCATACAGCCCGATCTTATCACAAGTTTTTTCTCATGTTCATCTCAGCCTCTTCAGCACCTACCTCAATACCTCGATCCACATTCTGTACCCACCATCATGTATTACATGTGTCTGCTATTTATAATTGGGAGTCCCATATGTAAGGTATGTCCTTCAAATGTTTAGTCAACCAAGATCCACACTATTTGGATCACTCGTAAGTTTGTGTATTAGTTATTTACACGAGCACGAAGGAAAGTTGATAGGAATGTTAGAGGTTGTTAGTGAGATAGTTTGTTGTGTAAGTTTTGTAAAGGTTTAATATTTATACATCCATTATATTGAATGGTCATGCTCTAATACTATTAAGATGGTGATAGTGTGTGTTATGCATGTATATTGTATTTACCATGGCGTTGGAAGATATAGTTAAACTCTGACGCTATATAATAAAGTGTTAATATTTGAGACCTGGAGAACGAGAGAGTAAGCTTGAAGAAAAATATAGTTTTGGAGCGAAAAAGAAACATTTAGTTTTAATCAGATTATATGCTTTGTGTTCATAATGCTTCCTGATTGTGACAAGCTTCCTGATTGATGGACCGCCACTGTTGTATTTTATTGCTTATCCTAAATGTATATTAAATATCGATTTAGTATTTTATGTGCTACATGAGACAAAAGGCAATATGTATCCACTAGAATTGTACGCGATATCTTATTTTTTTACGTTTTAAGCAATATTAATTTCCCTCTTGTTTTTACTTACATTTTCTGCTGTAAGTAAATAACCATTTCGGCAACATGTATGTACAACATATTCTTAAAATAACAACGCTGCAAAGTGTAATTGTCATATACTTACGTTAATTATAATACTTATCCGTATTGCAATTGCAAGTAAAATGTGTTCAGATTAACTGTCGACAGCCACTTGGGATGAGAGATGGTCCGAGCAGAGATCCGCGCTTGTGTCTCCCGGGTATACATCCCCTCTGCGAGATACTCCAGAAATGTATATCAGTTCGAATTGCAGTCGTCCCTACCGTTTGAAGATCACCTGGTTTATACATGTATCTCTGGAGAATGTAATACCTTCTGTGTATTTAGAGCTGGTCAATCTGTGTATTAGAGCTGACAAGTTGGTATTATTGCACTTTACGCAAGCTGTGTGAGTCCAGATGATAATTGTCTGGCTTGTTTACAGGCCACCGTTGCATAGCAGGGGTTTGCTTGTGCGGCGTCAGGCAATAAATACTTACTATTTATACAAGCTGTGTACGTGGCGGGTACTACCGGTAGGGAAGGACATGCCTACCTTTTCCTCGATCACCTGGTGTTATTACTGGTTGTCAGTGGTCAATTCATTTTCACAGCTAGTTTGACCTTCACCCCAAAATATAACCTGTTTCGGCGGATAACATAAACTTGTTATTATCTTGCATTGACATTTTATATTTAAGTTCACCCTTAATGATCGTATGAAGATTTTGTCTCTGACTATTTTCAGTTGTATGATCTGAGTCGTCTTATTTGAGTATTGCTTAATTGTAATTTCTTTGTGTTAATAAAACCTTAAACTATCAGTTGGTTTTATCATTACCAGTGTGCCTTAATGCAATCAATTTGTCTATTTATTCATTTTTCGCAGTCACTTGTTTATTCACGCCAGATTCTGAATTTGTTTGATAATTACGATTCAGCACCTCATGAGATGGAGTTTTACTTCTGCTTTTGTGGTGGAATTTTATATAATCTCCAAGATACTGATGCCATTTTCATTATGGCCATCCCAATACCATTACAGATCCAAAGTGTATTGCTTATAACAAACACCACACGTTGATTCATCGGAACACAACATGAAGACGTTATAACAAAACATCTTAACTTCCCGTCAAACAAATCGCATGGTCGTTGAAACATTGTTAATATGTATGTTCATCAACTTGTAAAATGGCAGTTACATGTATGTTTGTATGTGAAGGTTATACACATCGTCACAATTATAAAACATTTATAATACTGTACCAAGAATAACCTGCCAACTTTTATGAGATAAATTTGAATTTATTACCCAAAATATATTTGTAGTTCGATCAGCACTGATGTCTTTTATATATTAATCTATTATGTCAGCAGCTTCAACCAGAATCATTTAAGCCGATGTTGGACAGTTCTGCTGCAGAGGCGTCTGTTGAGGAGTCTCTGGTGTTTCGGAACCCTTCCTCTTTAGGATGAATTGTCTCCTCACCAGACAGGGGCGGTCGGGTAGCCTAGTGGTTAAAGCGTTCGCTCGTCACGCCGAAGACCCGGGTTCGAATCTCGACATGGGTACAAGGTGTGAAGCCCATTTCTCGTGTCCCCCGCTGTGATATTGCTGGAAAATTGCTAAAAGCGGCGTAAAACCATAGTCACTCACACTCACTCACTCCTCACCAGACATGCCAGATCCCCCTTTCCCGTTGCGTGGTCTTTCGGACTGCCCTGGTCCTGCCTGGTCCTCGACATGATTTTGTCTGACAGCAACAGTAGGATAATATCCAAGTTGTCGTCCATACACTGTGTTTAACATACTTGTGCCATGCATGCCAATATTTGCCATCTAGTGCGTCTGATAGTCTTTGCCTTACGATATTAACACACACACCATCAAGCAAAACATCGCCACTTTGTATGCCTGTATTTTCAGTAAGCCAATAGTGTGTTCCGTCCAACCTGAAGGTTCTGTTTGGGCGACACTGTTGGCGACAAACATGACAATCCTAGAGATGAAATAAAGCGAAAATTCTTTCCATATTCATAAGGATTTTCTGCTAAAAGCAGAGTCGATTGTACGATTAAGCGACACAACCCTTTCCATAGCCAATAGAAATCTCTGCATGAAGCAGGAAAAGGTGCGCTCATCTTGTCGATAAGGTTGCGAGTATCCTGGAGAACATAGGCGTATCAGGGGAGGACTGTACCGGAACCTCCATTTACATCAGGGGCGGTCGGGTAGCCTAGTGGTTAACGCGTTCGCTCGTCACGCCGAAGACCCGGGTTCGATTGCCGACATGGGTACAATGTGTGGAGCCCATTTCTGGTGTCCCCCGCTGTGATATTGCTGGAATATTGCTAAAAGCGGCGTAAAACCGTACATGATCACGTACTACAGCTATCAACACGTTAACAATTATTTAAATTTACAGATATTATTATGAAAACTGCAGCTACTTCCTGCTTAATGGTCGTTTGCTGATACAATCGCAATGTATTTTGCAGACGCCCTATCCAACCGACCACGGAGACAGTCTTGTCACTCTTACGTGCAACGACATCCGTTCTCGATGACGTCATATTGAGTGAGTATGGTTTTACGCCACTTTAAGCAATATTCCAGCAATATCACGGCGGGGGACACCAGAAATGGGCTTCACACATTGTACCCATGTCGAGAATCGAACCCAGGCCTTCGGCGTGTCGAGCGAACGTTTTAACCAGTAGGCTACTCGACCGCCCATCTCCAATGAGAATCGATCAGCCTGATCAGTAGGCAACAGAAGACACTAGAGCCACAAGTCTCTGTAGCTCACCTGCATTGTGGAGATATAAAGCCAGAACGGAATTCATATTAGAATCCTCTACTGTTTATTACAGCTTAGAATGACATGAGCATTCAAATCAATGAACAACACATCGTCTAAACACATCAATGCTCTATGCAGAAAGTCATACATGTCCACGGCACGTTTTTTTTTCATAGAAAATGCGAGAATGTGAAAAAATACATGCCGCTTGAACAGCCGAAACTACACCTGCAATAAGAGTATGAATGATGCGGACAGCATGATAGGCACTCACTCTGATACTGAAACACACCCGAATAATGCGAGTGGACCCTGGGCATGATGCAGATGGGAGCCACTTATGTCCACATTGCTGGAACCGTTGGCTGCTCTCGTTTTACTAATTAACCTGATGCAGACCGGGCGGACATCAGACAGGCTACGGACAGGCTGACCCAGGGTAACTACACCCAATAACGACCGGTACTTGCGTATTTTGCATCTCTGGAATCGATTCCTGGCAGTGACGTCATCAGTGGCCAGGCGACTCAGGCTCAAGGAATTTAGTTTCGGGCCTTGGCAAGTCACCTTTGACATTTATACATGCGATATCCCGTGATGCAAAGATGTGAGAACAGTGCTCCTTATAGTACAAAGTCTTTTTTCTGAGAAATTGTAGAAAATGTGGATTTCCTGGTCTCAAATGGAGACATGAGCTCACTAACGCTATTGTTGAAACGACGTCGCATAAGAAACGTCATGACGTCATGAACGATGTCTTCCTGTAGCGTCACGTTCCTACTGTTTATTTCAGCTTAGAATGACATGAGCATGATACACATCTGTGAGATGAGTATAAAAATGGCAAGTGTTTAGAAAAACATGACGTGCAGTAACATCTCTTTAAAAAAAACTACTTACAAGTATAAGTTTAAGTTTATTCGGAAAAAAACAGGGCGCTTTCTCTCTGAATACTGCGCTGTGGATAAACGAGATTTTACGTGACTTCATGCAATATATGACAGGCTGTACCGGTTAATATAAGGATGCGCAAAATGTGGTTATTCATTTTCATAATGCAAAATCAATAAATACTGCAGTAATAAACAAAAAAAACAGATTTGGATAATTATTACACAAACAATCAACAAAGAGTCAAACATTATGTACACAATTACCAACAATCACATCTGGTATACTATGTTTGTGGGTTCGAATCCCTGTTTCCCGCAATTATGTTTCTAGGTTTGTCAGCACCATACCCGTGCTCGTGGGTTTCACCGAAGTGGTAAACGTCTGAGACCTGCATCACTTCGAGCTTTTCTCCCACATTAAGCTGACACGCCTTGATATAACTGGAATACTGTTAAAAGCGGCTTTAAACCCTACTCACTCACTCACTCACTCACTGGTATAACCATGATTATTAATTTTCTATTGTTACAGGTCACTGTAGCAGATGAATATGCGGCCAGGCATCCTTCACCTCCTCCATCCTACTGCTACACAAACAAAAAGAGTCACATGAACACCGCCGTGCTGATAATGTGATAACATGTGCTCTGATGATAATATAACACAGGCCGTGCGGGTAATGTGATAACATTGGCCGTGTTGATCATGTTATAGCATCGGCTGTGATGATAACGTGATAACATAGATCGTGTTGATAATATAACATTGGCCGCGCTGATAATATGATACCATTGGCCGAGCTGATAATATGATAACATTGACCGAGCTGATAATGTGATAACATAGGCCGTGATGATACTTTAACATAGGCTATTAACATAGCCTATGCTGATAATATAACACATGTCGAGCTGATAATGTGATAACAAAGACCGTGCTGGTAACATAATGATAATATAAAATTGGTCGTGCTGGTAAAGTGATAACACAGTGGCGCTGATAATATAACATAGGATATAAACATAGGCCATGCTGATAATATAACATAGGCCGTGCTTGCGATACTATAACATTGGTCGTGTTGGTAAAGTGATAACATAGTCGTGCTGATAATATAACATAGGCCGTAATAATATGATAACAAGGTCGTGCTGATAATACAGCATAGGCCGTGCTGATAATATAACATAGGTCGTAATAATATGATAACAAGGACGTGCTGATAATACAGCATAGGCCGTGCTGATAATATAACATAGGCCGTAATAATATGATAACAAGGTCGTGCTGATAATACAGCATAGGCCGTGCTGATAATATAACATAGGCCGTAATAATATGATAACAAGGTCGTGCTGATAATACAGCATAGGCCGTGCTGATAATATAACATAGGCCGTAATAATATGATAACAAGGTCGTGCTGATAATATAGCATAGGCCGTGCTGATAATATAATATAGGCGGTGCGGGTAATGTGAAAAATTATTGCCTAATATGATAACATAGGCCGTGTTGATAATGTGATAGCATAGGCTGTGATGATAATGTAATAGAATAGATCGTGCTAATAATATAACATAGGCTGTGCTGATAATACTACATGATCGTCATGATAATATAACATAGGCTGTGCTGATAATACTACATGATCGTCATGATAATATGATAACAAGGTCGTGGTGATAATATGATAACAAGGTCGTGGTGATAATATGATAACACCGCGACAAAGTAAAATGGCCATGATGACAATATAACATAGACTGTGATGATATTATGATAACATAGGTCATTATGTCATAACACTTTTTCAAAGGGTGTAAGTATTTCGTAGATCTTGGTTATCCTTGTTATCTTCAAATTGAAATTCAGATATACCTAAGAACAAAAGAAACTGTACCACTTTAAAAATGAAAATGCAAAAATTTGAAAAGACAAGGTCAAACCAAATCAATGAACAACACATCGTCTAAACACATCAATGCTCTATGCAGAAAGTCATACACGTCCACGGCACGTTTTTTTTTCATAGAAAATGCGAGAATGTGAAAAAACACATGCCGCTTGAACAGCCGAAACTACACCTGCAATAAGAGTATAAATGATGCGGACAGCATGATACTGAAACACACCCGAATAATGCGAGTGGACCCTGGGCATGATGCAGATGGGAGCCACTTATGTCCACATTGCTGGAACCGTTGGCTGCTCTCGTGTTACTAATTAACCTGATGCAGACCGGGCGGACATCAGACAGGCTACGGACAGGCTGACCCAGGGTAACTACACCCAATGACGACCGGTACTTGCGTATTTTGCATCTCTGGAATCGATTCCTGGCAGTGACGTCATCAGTGGCCAGGCGACTCAGGCTCAAGGAATTTAGTTTCGGGCCTTGGCAGGTCACCTTTGACATTTATACATGCGATATCCCGTGATGCAAAGATGTGAGAACAGTGCTCCTTATAGTACAAAGTCTTTTTTCTGAGAAATTGTAGAAAATGTGGATTTCCTGATCTCAAATGGAGACATGAGCTTACTAACGCTATTGTTGAAACGACGTCGCATAAGAAACGTCATGACGTCATGAACGATGTCTTCCTGTAGCGTCACGTTCCTACGGGTCCCGTTAACATCCGGGATAGAATATGTCTTCAGCAACCCATGTTTTCCGTAAAAGGCGACTATGACGTCGAAGGACGCGACGTACGGGATCGGGTGGTCAGGCTCGCTGACTTGTTGATGCACGTCATAGTATCCAAACTGCGTGGATCGATTCTCATGATGTTAATCACTAGATTGTCTGGTCCAGACTCGATTATTTACAGACCGCCGTCATGAAGCTGGAATATTGCTGAGTGCGGCGTTAAACACGAAACGTTCCTATGGACCTCCAAAAAAAGTGAGTGAGTGAGTTAAGATTTAACCTCGAAAATAAGAAGAAAAAAAATAAAACGATGGAACAACTGCTATAATGCTCATTGATAATTACTTAAAAGAACTTCACTTACACCTGTGCCATTATTGGTAACATAATCCGCACTGTTCCACATATTAGACAGTTTGTCTTCATGTCAATCGGCTCCCTGCCACCCTGGTCTACAACCCAAGTATGGCCTGGCTGGCGGACTTCTGCTCAGTGTGTAATTGTTATGGTGCAAAAGACGACTCAATCACTTTCGCTATCCCTCCAAGACTAAATAACAAACAATCATCCTGTCTTAGGCAGAGATGGGATCTCATAATGCCTTTCATTGCCTGCACTATTGGGGTAACCTACAGTAGCATCTGGTATGGCATCAGATGAACGAGGCCCGGGTATGGGGCATAGATAGTTCTGATCTGTGATGGGCCGGTCTGTCAGAGCGCTGTAGGCGCCGTCCTGAGTTGAACCATCTTGAGTTGTTGCCTGTAGGGTTATCTCTGTGTAGTAGTGATCTGTGATGGGTCGGTCTACAGTGGCATCTGGTATGGCATCAGAAGACGGAGGCCCGGGTATGGGGCATAGATAGTTCTGATCTGTGATGGGTCGGTCTATAGTTGTATCTAGTATGGCATCAGAAGACGGAGGCCCGGGTATGGGGCATAGATAGTTCTGATCTGTGATGGGTTGGTCTATAGTTGTATCTGGTATGGCATCAGAAGACGGAGGCCCGGGTATGAGAGATAGATAGTTCTGATCTGTGATGGGTCGGTCTATAGTTGTATCTGGTATGGCATCAGAAGACGGAGGCCCGGGTATGGGGCATAGATAGTTCTGATCTGTGATGGGTCGGTCTACAGTGGCATCTGGTATGGCATCAGAAGACGGAGGCCCGGGTATGGGGCATAGATAGTCCTGATCTGTGATGGGTCGGTCTATAGTTGTATCTGGTATGGCATCAGAAGAACGAGGCCCGGGTATGGGGCATAGATAGTTCTGATCTGTGACGGGTCGGTGTGTTGGAGCGCTGTAGGCGCCGTCCTGAGTTGAACCATCTTGAGTTGTTGCCTGGAAGGATAACTCTGTGTATTTCTGATCTGTGACGGGTCGGTCTGTCAGAGCGCTGTAGGCGCCGTCCTGAGTTGAACCAGCTTGTGTTGTCGCCGGGAAGGATATTTCTGTGTAGTGCTGATCTGTGACGGGTCGGTCTGTCACAGCGCTGTAGGCGCCGTCCTGTATGGATTCAGCTTGTGTTGTTGCCCCTGAGGATAACTCTGGCATAGGTTGGTTCAGACTGCTGAAGGCATTGTCGTCAGCAGCTATTAATGTTGCATCTGGAATTAAAGACAGTGTATATACCACATCCTTATCTCTCTGGTGGGGTGGGTCGGGTTGGGTTGGGTTGGGGTGGGATAGGGTGGTAGGGGGTGGGGTGTGGCTGGTTACGGGCAGGGTGGTGTGGGGGGAATGGGGTTTGGGATGGGGTGAGGTGGGGTGGGGTGGATTTTGGGGTGGGGTAGGGTTGTATGGGGTGGGGTGTGGCTGGGGTTGGGTAGGGTGGTGTTGGGGGTTGACCTGAGCTGAGACAAACCTCCAGGTCGGCAACCAGTCATTGAGGTTCTAATATAACAAGAGCTGCGGTTATGTCGTCAGCGCTGGAGCAGCAGCAGGACCACCCGGATGTACCTACTAGGTTCTTAAATAGCCACAGAGGAGCCCTCCTTACTGGGCCCTTGAATGACCACAGGGCAGACCTGACCTATTGTATAAGGCCTTCATACAGCCACAGGGCGGCCTAGGTACACAATACGTGTCCTTATTATAACTACAGGGCAGACCGGATGTTCAGTACTCGGCCCTTGTATAACTACAGGGCAGACCGGATGTTCTGTACTCGTGCCTTGTATAACTACAGGGCAGACCGGATGTTCTGTACTCGGCCCTTGTATAACTACAGGGCAGATCGGATGTTCTGTACTCGGCCCTTGTATAACTACAGGGCAGACCGGATGTTCTGTACTCGGCCCTTGTATAACTACAGGGCAGACCGGATGTTCTGTACTCGGCCCTTGTATAACTGCAGGACAGACTGGATGTTCTGTACTCGGCCCTTGTATAACTACAGGGCAGATCGGATGTTCTGTACTGGGCCCTACAATGACCACAAGGTTGAACTGATCTTCTGTAAAAGGCCCTCATATAGCCATAGGGCAGATCGGATGAAAAGTACCTAACTCGGCATTTAGATTACCTTTCTCTCTGTGATGTCTTCTTCTCCTTCTTCTTCTTCTGTTACTACTTCTAACACACAGGAACACCACGACGACGCCGATGAGCACCACACACCCAGCTGCTGCTGCTGCCGCGCCAATAAGGAGGTAGGGGGTTGTTGCTGGATCATAATGTCGTAACATGTTTGAGTGAGTGAGTGAGTTGGGTTTAACGCCGCTTTTAACATTATTCCAGTTATATCACGGCGTGTCAGCTTAATGTGCGAGGAAAGCCAGAAGTGATGCAGGTCTCAGACGTTTACCACTTCGGTGAAACCCACGAGCACGGGTATGATGCTGACAAACCTAGAAACATAATCGGGGCGAACCGGGATTCGAACCCACAATCATAGGTTTCTGGCGTGCCCAAGGGACGCAACTCTGCACAGCGAGTCGCGGCGCCTTAGACGACATGGCCACCTGTGCCCCCTAACATAGTTTGAACACTGAGCTCCTGTTATACATTGTACTTCTGCTCATTGTCAATCCCTACATCCTGTGATCCTAATACAAGTTTACTGCGCAAGAGGTGAGGTGAAAAGGGGGCTCAGTGTTATTTCGCTAACAAGCTTCATGCATGCCCGTTACTTCTTGTGCCAGTTCAGACCTATGCCGGTTGTGTTAGTCCACAGAGATACCATGCTGCAGTTTAACACGAATATCCCACTCACATACTGTAAACTACGTTTATAACGAACGTGCTTATAACGAACTGACGGATATAACTTACTTTTTTGTCCCGACTATTTGCTGTAGTTATGCTGTATATATGCTTATAACGAACTACGTGTATAACGAACTGAAATTAGTGGTCCCGTTGAGGTCGTTATAACAGTAGTTTACTGTATATCACACTAGCAGTTTTGTCCTTGTATTATCCACGTAATGCCGGGCACTAGGCAGGGTAACAACAAGTACAATATTTTAACATCTTTTGATATAATTTGACCAGGGAATCGAACCACAACTCTCCGAGCAGACGCTCTATGCGCTGCACCATGAAGCTTTAGCTTGCGAACATATATAAGAATATTCTTGCTAGTGTCATTTCTTCGGGCCATAGCGGGTTTGTCCATGTTTGCCAATATTCGGGTTATGTAGGCTCTACAGTAAACTACGGCTATAACGAACTCAAAGGGACCACTAATTATAGTTCGTTATAACCGTAGTTCGCTATAAGCATATATACATCATATATACATCAAATGGCCGGGACTAAAAAATAAGTTCGTTATAACGGTCAGTTCGTTATAACCTTGTTCGTTATAACCGTAGTTTACTCTATATGATAATCATAATGTTTAAATGCTTCCCGGGATGGGATTCCGAGTAAGACTTTCATCCCCACCCACCCCTGCTTATTGCACGAGGCTACGTAATGGGTCAGGTGGTCAGCGTCGATGTATTGATTTATGGAATGTCATAGAGCTCATGATCGCGTGAACAATGAACAAAAGAAACTTGAGCACAGGAAACATGAACAAGGAACACAGGAAACTTGAACAATGAACCCAAGAAACATGAGCACAGGAAACATGAACAAGGAACACAGGAAACTTGAACAATGAACACAAGAAACATGAGCACAGGAAACTTGAACAATGAACACAAGAAACTTGAGCACAGGAAACATGAACAATGAACACAAGAAACTTGAGCACAGGAAACATGAACAAGGAACACAGGAAACTTGAACAATGAACACCAGAAACACGAGCACAAACATGAACACTGCACATGAAGCATGAACATAAGCACAGGAAACATGAACAAGGAACACAGGAAACTTGAACAATGAACACAAGGAACACGAGCACAAACATGAACACTGCACATGAATTCGAAGCATGAACATAAGCACAGGAAACATGAACAAGGAACACAGGAAACTTGAACAATGAACACAAGGAACACGAGCACAAACATGAACACTGCACATGAAGCATGAACATAAGCACAGGAAACATGAACAATGAAAACAGGAAACTTGAACAATGAACACAAAAAACATGAGCACAGGCAACTTGAACAATGAACACAAGAAACTTGAGCATAGGAAACTTGAACAATGAACATAAGAAACTTGAGCACAGGAAACATGAACAAGGAACACAGGAAACTTGAACAATGAACACAAGAAACATGAGCACAGGAAACATGAACAAGGAACACAAGAAACTTGAACAATGAACACAAGAAACATGAGCACAGGAAACTTGAACAATGAACACAAGAAACTTGAGCACAGGAAACATGAACAATGAACACAAGAAACTTGAGCACAGGAAACATGAACAAGGAACACAGGAAACTTGAACAATGAACACCAGAAACACGACCACAAACATGAACACTGCACATGAAGCATGAACATAAGCACAGGAAACATGAACAAGGAACACAGGAAACTTGAACAATGAACACAAGGAACACGAGCACAAACATGAACACTGCACATGAAGCATGAACATAAGCACAGGAAACATGAACAAGGAACACAGGAAACTTGAACAATGAACACAAGGAACACGAGCACAAACATGAACACTGCACATGAAGCATGAACATAAGCACAGGAAACATGAACAATGAAAACAGGAAACTTGAACAATGAACACAAAAAACATGAGCACAGGCAACTTGAACAATGAACACAAGAAACTTGAGCACAGGAAACATGAACAAGGAACACAAGAAACTTGAACAATGAACACAGGGAACACGAGCACAAACATGAACACTGGACATGAAGCATGAACATAAGCACAGGAAACATGAACAATGAACACAGGAAACTTGAACAATGAACACAAGAAACTTGAGCACAGGAAACATGAACAAGGAACACAGGAAACTTGAACAATGAACACAAGGAACACGAGCACAAACATGAACACTGCACATGAAGCATGAACATAAGCACAGGAAACATGAACAATGAACACACGAAGCATGTACAATGAACACACGAAGCATGAACACTGAACACAGGAAACAGGAAACGTGAGCATAGGAAACATGGACAATGAACACTTGAAACATGAACACACGAAACATGAACAATGCTCTTCAGAATCATCAACAATGAACACAGGAAGCATGAACATAGGAAAAATGAACATAGGAAAAATGAACAATGAACACAGGAAGCATGAACATAGGATGCATCAACTATGAATACAGAAGGCACGAAAAGGACAAAATTGTACTTACATAACACATGAACTGTAACAGTTCGAGACGACTGTTTCATCTGTCGTGTTCCACTACATCTTGTGACAGTGTTGGTGGCTGTGCAGACATATTCTCCTGCATCAGTCTTCTTAACGTTCTTCAGATGAAGAGTCCCATATTCAGACATCCTCGCGCCTACTCCTTCTTTTCTCCAAACTATTGACGTCACTTCCGGGTTTGCATCCACTGTACAGTGGATGATCAAATCTTCTGATTCGTTGACCACTTTCAAGCTACCGTCGATGTGAACGGCTGGTGGATCTGGGAAGGGAAAACAATATCTTAACATCTTTTGGTGCGACACTGCAAGGTGATCGAACCCTGTTACTATCACACCGCAATAAAGTACTCACGGAAATGAAAAAAACCTGTTTTTTCGATCTCAGATTTTAAATAAATGCAGTTAATATACAAAATATATAAATATTCAAACAACTCCATTTAGTACTAATTGGGCCTTGGCACAAATACAGCCTATCAAAGGTTTTTTATGTCTTTTTACACGTAAAAGTGTGTAAAAATATGAACAAAACAGACTATTGTGAAACTGAGCATAACCAGGTGTTAGTAGATCAAGGTGAATGTCCATGACCTATGACACCTTGGCGACAGGTGAAAACAGGTGCTTGAAATCCACATGCATGTGATTTGTCAGTGGTTAGTGATTTGTCAGTGGCATTGTGGGATAGTGAGTCATCGTCAAAATATAAGAACGTAAAGTAACATATTCCCTTCTCAAACAAATACTTACACGTCATTATTATTATGTACAAAAACATAGCTGTTAATTTTATTATTGTTTTGATACCTTTTTTTCCAGGCTAATTTGCATAATGCCTATAGCCTGTTTCTGCCATTTCAATTTGGAAATTTTCATTTCCATGAGTACTTTATCATCCTCAATGAGAGCCCACTCTGCACTATCACCCTAACGTGATCTATTCACAACACTTGTCTAGGACCACGGAGGGCCCACTCTGCACTATCACCCTAACGTGATCTATTCACAACACTTGTCTAGGACCACGAAGGGCCCACTCTGCACTATCACCCTAACGTGATCTATTCACCACACTTGTCTAGGACAAGGGAGGATCCACTCTGCACTATCACCCTAACGTGATCTATTCACCACACTGGTCTCGGAATACGGAGGGCCCACTCTGCACTATCACCCTAACGTGATCTATTCACCACACTGGTCTCGGAATACGGAGGGCCCACTCTGCACTATCACCCTAACGTGATCTATTCACCACACTGGTCTAGGACCACGGAGGGCCCACTCTGCACTATCACCCTAACGTGATCTATTCACCACACTGGTCTAGGACCACGGAGGGCCCACTCTGCACTATCACCCTAACGTGATCTATTCACAACACTGGTCTAGGACCACGGAGGGCCCACTCTGCACTATCACCCTAACGTGATCTATTCACAACACTTGTCTAGGACCACGGAGGTCCCACTCTGCACTATCACCCTAACGTGATCTATTCACAACACTTGTCTATGACCAGAGAGGTCCCACTCTGCACTATCACCCTAACGTGATCTATTCACAACACTTGTCTATGACCAGAGAGGTCCCACTCTGCACTATCACCCTAACGTGATCTATTCACAACACTTGTCTATGACCAGAGAGGTCCCACTCTGCACTATCACCCTAACGTGATCTATTCACAACACTTGTCTATGACCAGAGAGGTCCCACTCTTCACAATCACCCTAACGTGATCTATTCACAACACTTGTCTATGACCATAGAGGTCCCACTCTGCACTATCACCCTAACGTGATCTATTCACCACACTGGTCTAGGACCACGGAGGGCCCACTCTGCACTATCACCCTAACGTGATCTATTCACCACACTGGTCTAGGACAACGGAGGGTCCACTCTGCACTATCACCCTAACGTGATCTATTCAACACCCTGGTCTAGGACAACGGAGGGCCCACTCTGCACTATCACCCTCAATTGATCTATTCACCACACTTGTCTAGGACAACGGAGGGCCCACTCTTCACTATCACCCTCAATTGATCTATTCACCACACTGGTCTAGGACCACGGAGGGCCCACTCTGCACTATCACCCTAACGTGACCTATTCAAAACACCGGTCTAGGACGACGGAGTTCCCACTCTGCACTATCAACCTAACGTGATCTATTCACCACACTGGTCTAGGACCACGGAGGGCCCACTCTACACTATCACCCTAACGTGACCTATTCAAAAAACCGATCTAGGACCACGGAGTTTCCACTCTGCACTATCACCCTTACGTGATCTATTTTCCACACTGGTCTAGGACCACGGAGGTCCCACTCTGCACTATCACCCTAACGTGATCTATTCAACACCCTGGTCTAGGACAACGGATCGCCCACTCTGCACTATCATCCTAACGTGACGTATTCAACACCCTGGTCTAGGAAAAGGGAGGGCCCACTCTGCACTATCATCCTAACGTGATCTATTCACCACCCTCGTCTAGGACCACGGAGGGCCCACTCTACACTATCACCCTAACGTCATCTATTCAACAAACTAGTCTAGGACCATGGAGGGCCCACTCTGCACCATCACCCTAAAGTTATCTATTCACCACACTGGTCTAGCACCAAGGAAGGCCCACTCTGCACTATCACCCTAACGTGATCTATTCACCACCCTGGTCTAGGACGACGGAGGTCCCACTCTGCACTATCACCCTAACGTGATCTATTCACCACCCTGGTCTAGGACCACGGAGGGCCCACTCTACACTATCACCCTAACGTCATCTATGCAACAAACTAGTCTAGGACCATGGAGGGCCCACTCTGCACTATCACCCTAAAGTTATCTATTCACCACACTTGTCTAGCACCAAGGAGGGCCCACTCTGCACTATCACCCTAACGTGATCTATTCACCACACTGGTCTAGGACAACGGAGGGCCAACTCTGCATTGTCACCCTAACGTGATCTATTCACCACACTGGTCTAGGACCACGGAGGGCCCACTCTGCACAATCACCCTAACGTGATCTATTCACCACACTGGTCTAGGACCATGGAGGGCCAACTCTGCATTGTCACCCTTACGTGATCTATTCACCACACTGGTCTAGGACCATGGAGGGCCAACTCTACACTATCACCCTAACGTGATCTATTCACCACACTGGTCTAGGACGACGGAGGGACCACTCTGCACTATCACCTTAACGTGATCTAATCACCACACTGGTCTAGAACCACGGAGGGCCCACTCTGCACTATCACCCTAACGTGATCTATTCACCACACAGGTCTCGGACCACGGAGGGCCCACTCTGCACTATCACCCTAAAGTAATGTATTCACCACACTGGCCTAGGACCATGGAGGGCCCACTCTGCACTATCACCCTAAAGTTATCTATTTACCACACTTGTCTAGGACCACGAAGTTCCCAATCTGCACTATCACCCTAACGTGATGTATTCACCACACCGGTCTAGGACCACGGAGGACCCACTCTACACTATCACCCTTATGTGATCTATTCACCACACTGGTCTAGGACCACGGAGGGCCCACTCTACACTATCAACCTAACGTGATCTATTCACCACACTGGTCTAGGACCACGGAGAGCCAACACTGCACTATCACCCCAACGTGATCTATTCACTACACTAGTCTAGAACCACGGAGGGCCCACTCTGCACTATCACCCTAAAGTTATCTATTCACCACATTGGTCTAGGACAAAGGAGGGCCCACTCTGCACTATCACCCTAAAGTTATCTATTCAACACCATGGTCTAGGACAACGGAGGGCCCACTCTGCACTATCACCCTCAATTGATCTATTCACCACATTAGTCTAGGACCAAGGAGGGCCCACTCTGCACTATCAACCTCATGTGATCTATTCACCACCCTGGTCTAGGACCACGGAGGGCCCACTCTAAACTATCACCCTAACGTGATCTATTCACCACACTGGTCTAGGACCACGGAGGGCCCACTCTGCACTATCACCCTAACGTGATCTATTCACTACACTGTTCTAGGACAACGGAGGGCCCACTCTCCACTATCAACCTAACGTGACCTATTCAACACCCTGGTCTAGGACCACGAAGGGCCCACTCTGCACTGTCATCCTAACGTGATCTATTCACCACACCGGTCTAAGACAACGGAGGGCCCACACTGCACTATCACCATTACGTGATCTATTCACCACACTGGTCTAGGACCATGGAAGGCCCACTCTGCACTATCACCCTAACGTGATCTATTCACCACACCGGTCTAGGACCACGGAGTTCCCACTCTGCACTATCATCCTAACGTGATCTATTCACCACACTGGTCTAGGACCACGGAGGGCCCACTCTACACTATCACCCTAACGTGATCTATTCACAACACTGGTCTAGGACCACGAAGGGCCCACTCTACACTATCACCCTAACGTGATCTATTCACAACACTGGTCTAGGACCACGAAGGGCCAACTCTACACCATCACCCTAACGTGATCTATTCACCACACTGGTCTAGGACGACGGAGGTCCCACTCTGCACTATTACCCTAACATGATCCATTCACTACACTGGTCTAGGACCACGAAGGGCCAACTCTACACTATCACCCTAACGTGATCTATTCACCACACTGGTCTAGGACGACGGAGAGCCCACTCTGCACTATTACCCTAACATGATCCATTCACTACACTGGTCTAGGACCACGGAGGGCCCACTCTGCACTATCACCCTAACGTGATCTATTCACTACACTGGTCTAGGACAACGGAGGGCCCACTGTGCACTATCATCCTAACGTGACCTATTCAACACCCTGGTCTAGGACCACGAAGGGCCCACTCAGCACTATCACCCTAACGTGATCTATTCACCACACTGGTCTAGGACAACGGAGGGCCCACTGTGCACTATCATCCAAACGTGACCTATTCAACACCCTGGTCTAGGACCACGAAGGGCCCACTCAGCACTATCACCCTAACGTGATCTATTCACCACAGTGGTCTAGGACCACGGAGGGCCCACTTTGCACTATCACCCTAACGTAATCTATTCACCACACTCGTCTAAGACCACGGAGGGCCCACTCTGCACTATCACCTTAACGTGATTTATTCACCACACTGGTCTAGGACCACGGGGGGCCCACTTTGCACTATCACCCTAACGTAATATATTCACCACACTGGTCTAAGACCACGGAGGGCCCACTCTGCAC